CCCCCCACCCCCAGTGTGATTTCCTTCTCCTCCATTCTCCTCTCGGGACCTTGGGCATGCACGCACACGTGCCCAACCAATGTGAGTTTAAGCCACTGGGTCTGGAATTCGAACCAAGATCGACTACATGGGAGTCCAGCAGTGTAGACATTATGGCATCTGCTGGTCCCAAATCTTAGTTTTTGACTTAAATGATTTGTTTTAGAATCATAATGACACAATATAGAAAAGATTAGAAAATACAATTAATCTCCACCAATATAAAACCACTACACATAAAAACTTTCTAACTTTGGAGATCAGCACTCTAATTCTGCATAAATAAATAGCTATGCACAGAAAAAGTTGGAAATGTCTGCTATGCCAGTTTTTGAATCAGCTCTGTCAACAATGAAATTAACTGGTCAATTAATTCATTACTGAAAGTAAAAGGTTACATTGCACAGTTCTACTTCATACTTTTGCTAGCTCAGATGCACTGCTGGAACAAAGTATGGGCTCTGCTTGGCTTTTTAGTGAGAGGTGCAAACATTCTAGTGATTGAAATAAACTTTTGAAATGCCATTCATTTGTTTAATTTGGTTTATAATTTAGATAACGTATTTGTTTGAAAGTGAGAAAGTGTTCATTGATGAATTTGCTACTTATTTTTGTCCTGGTCAGTTATTTCATGTTTGTGAAGTTGAAGGGACTAACCATCACTCATTTTGACCTTTCCTAGCAAATGTATTTTTTGCACCCTAGGAAAATATGTACAAAGTATATAGAAATCTTATAATGTTTATGTCTGATCTGTGAGTGCTCCAACCACATTTTTATAGGTTAACTTGCTTACTCTATGTTTAATAATTCCGTTTATAAGTAGAGACAATGCACACTGATCTTAGTGTGTAGCCCACATTCCTCTGTGTTCTTCTGCATAAAGACATAATACCCAAGATGATAAATGCAGCAGTGATATTTGTGAGAACCAGTCTAAGGTTTAGATAAAATATGATTTGGGACCATTCCTGGTCCTTCTCTTCTGTTCATTAAGAGCGATGGAAACTGGTTTCGTCTTTTCTCCACCTCGCTGGGGTCGTGGGAGGCCTCAGCGTCTGTATGGGTGATGTGTCTATATGGTGTTTTCAACAGTCTAGTTCCAGAGTTCCCTGACTCCCTCATCTCAGACCTACTTCGCCCACTCGCTTTCTGCAGGAACTGGCTCATTTCACTCGGGCCGTTACAAATCTAAAGTTTTAAGTCCCAGTAGCATCCTTTCTGGCGTAGCTCTCTCACTCCCGCTGAACTCCCCTTATTTTTACTTGGCTGGCTTCCAGGTTCTAGGTGAGCCCTTCTCTGCTAGCCCATCCCATTTGCTGGGCCCATCGCTCACCGCCTCCTTTGTTTCCTGCCCTGCTCGCTCACAGCCCATCTCTGTCTTGCTGTACCCTCCGGGGCCTTACACTTTGTGCTTGGCTTGTAATCTGTCCTGCCAGCCCTTGGTTTGGACCTGGGATCTCCTCCTCTCTTACCTAGTGGCTGCCAGGAACTGCTTGAGCAAATCACCCTGTAAATAAGTTTATCATTTTCATCCTTACATGGGACCTCAGGCACTGGCACATTTGCGTCACTGTTTTTTTGGCTCGTTTCCTACTGTATCCTTTTCTGTTCCCCTCGCACCTACCGCACCTACCGCACCTACCGCACCTACCGGCTAGGCTCCTTCACTCCCGCTTCCTTTAGTAGACAGCCTTCTCTCTGCATTAGTTTTCTAGGGCTGCCCTAGCAGAGAGCCACAGGCCGGGTGGCTTAAGCAACAGACATGTGATCTGTCCCCTTACCATGATGAGGACTGGAAATCTGAAATCAAAGCGTGAGCAGCGTTGGTTTCTTCCGAGGGTTGTGAGGGAAGGACCCGTCCCTGGCCATTTTCTCCCTATGACTCCTTACACCGTCTTCCCTCAGTGTGCACCTGTCTGTACAAATTCCATCTTTTATAA